TAGTATTTGAAAGCTATTATTACATACTGTTTAGGATAATAAGGAAATACAAGTTAGTAATTAGTCACCTATTATAATCAAAATTATAGTCATGTTAGGTATGTTTTTAAGGTCAAACAAAGGTATATTTTAGATAGACAGATTATCTTCAAACACTTTAGAGATTTACAGAATATGGCATGTAAGATTTTTTTTTTTTTTTGGTTTTTCGAGACAGGGTTTCTCTGTGGCTTTGGAGCCTGTCCTGGAACTAGCTCTGTAGACCAGGCTGGTCTCGAACTCACAGAGATCCGCCTGCCTCAGCCTCCCGAGTGCTGGGATTAAAGGCGTGCGCCACCATCGCCCGGCAAGATGTTTTAATAATATAGGCTCTTTTTTTTTTTAATAGCAATGAGACATGTCTGCTCCTAGCAGCACCAATCTATTTCAGGGAAGATAATGGGCATCAAAGAAACTCCACATGGAGTTAACTTTTTTCTGACAAAAGTAAATCACTGGCCAAGAAAATGCCCTTGTCTTGATTGTTGACAGTATGCTGTCCTAATTAGACGAGCAGGACACAAAAGAAAGTGACGGCCAAACATTGGGATAGCCCTTTAGATCATCCTGCTTTACAAAAATGACTGTCAGATATGCTAGGCCTGTAGGCCAAAGATAGATGTCCTGACATTGCAGAGGAACTTTGGGTGACTATCCAGGAACCCAGCTGTTTCTGTCATTTTTCACATTTTTTTGGAAGTACAAGCACTTTCTGTTTACTCAGTTAATATTTTTTTTTTGGGATCTCTGAAGGAGTTGAAGTTAGATGGTTATAGTTACAGTTTTCCTTATTTACCTGATGCAGAAAGCTAGTTATGATAGAAAGTAAAATAGGTATAAGATTTTGGACTCACCAAGGCAGGATAGATATGAAGTATTTTCTCTGAATTTGCCAAATGCAAATGGACTAGACATTGTTTATATATTTATTGACTGCACATATTGTATATAGTTTTGTACTTATTGTATAGTTTTTCTTATATTAGTTATAGCCTTATTTTTATTTTAGACAAAAAGCAGAATTATAGTGATATCTCAATTGTATTTTAATAAATTTAATAAAGCTTGCTTGAATATCAGAGAGTAAAACAGCTCCACTGGTCAGTCTTACAAACCAGGCAGTGGTAACACACATCTTTAATCCCAGTCGCCACACTAGTTTGCCATAGAAACCGGGCAGTAGTGGTGCACACCTTTAATCCCATCCCCAGAGAAGAATATAAGGTGGGAGGAGACAGTTCTCAGGCAATCTTATTGTCAGGATTCCTGGAGGCAGGACTGCCATTTGAGACTGAAGTAGAGGTAAGAGCCAGTGACTGGCAGTTTTGCTTTTCTGACCTTCAGATTGAACTTCAATATCTGTCTCTTGGTTTTTATTAATCATGCTACAAGTAACCCCCAAAGAACCTCAACTGTCTTTAAAAAGAGAAATGGTTAGCTTTGGTTACCAGCATGATCTTCAACACCTAGCAGAAAGTATAGTTAAAAAAAATTATAATAGTATGGTAAAGCAAAAACCCAAAAATCTAGACTCTGAAAAGAGACCAAAGATAACTCAGGTCTCATATCCCATTAAATGCTATGTATAGGCAATTGCAACAACTCCCAGCTATGATACAAATCTAAGTTCTACCATGACCTACCTGTGAACAGAGCAGAGGAACTGAAGTCAGATTCTAGATTGAGCAGAACCAGGGGGCTCCAGGAGAGTCGTGTTAATCTCTTTATTGATTTTCTCTGAAAGTTTTCTTCCAAGATAGCTCAGGGTTGGATGGTGGGACAGAGAAGCAATGATAAACAGATGGTCTCCTCACCACTTTCACCAGATGTGCTCCCAAGACTCATGGTCAGATAGGGGCTACATGCATAATGTCCTTAAATGTGCTCAATTAGGGAAAGGAAATACCTCGCCCATTGTGTTCCTTAGGCAAGTAGAGGGAGATAGTTCTCCCAGAAGAATAAACAAAAATCCAAGGAAGAGGAGTTCACACAGGAGGCTAATGTAGGAAAGTCTATATTATAGGCAGGTTCCAAGCTCTGTGTATGTAAGGTATTCAGATAGATTTATCTACGTTTTGGCACTCAATAGCAGCAGGTTTATACTCTTTTCCTTTTAATGTATTCCACTATTGCATTTCTTAAAGTTTTTTTCTATTTCACCCAGTTATTTTGAAATATTTAATTTATTTTTATTTTATATATATGGTTATTTTTCCTGCTTATGTCTGCATACCACATGTATGCAGTGCCCAAAGAGTCCAGAAGAGGGCAGTGGATCTTATGGAACTGAAGTTACAGATTGCTATTATGCTTGATGTGGGTGCTGTCAACCAAACCTGGGTCTTCCGCAAGAACAAGTCCCTTTCACCTCTAAGTCATCTCTCCAGCCGCTCTTGCCATAGTCTTAACATAAAGCCATGGGTTTTATTCTTTTTGACAATCACAGCCATGAGAACAAAATAAAAAGAATAACTATTCAGAAATGAATGAAACCATGGTTTTCCTTGAGCACTTCCTTTGGTGGATTATCACTTGACATAATTACATTACTCTTGCTTAAACCTTGTATTTTAATCTTGTAAAATTTGTGTCTCCTAAGATATGCAACTATTTCAAACTAAACTCTTTTTGATTTCAACTACAGAAAATCCTCTTTTCCGACCCACAGATTGTGGTCATCCTTAGGCATGGACCATGCCTTTCATCGGCATGGGATTGGTTGTAGGAGAATGACTGATTATAATTGTACTTCCAAAAAAAGATTTTTGGGATCACAACTTTCATGGCAGAATTACGGCAGGAGATTACAGACTAGAGAAAGCTGGATCCGTATTAACATATAAAAGAAATCAACAGGCAGAGAAAGCTAAGAAATCATCCCTCACCTGGTCTTATTCAACAAATTGAGCATGCACAAGAAAATACAAACTATATGAATATTGGTGAGGAGGGTATACATGAATGACCAATCAAGGGTCATGAGGCTTCGGGCCCAGTGTTTTTGAAGCACATTTTGTTTGTTTTTCAAACTCACTAGCTCCCTCTTATTCTTGGGAGGGCTTCCAGTTTTTAAATAGACTATTTGTGTTTGCATTTCTATTTTTGTCGATTTATTTCTATATTTGTATTTCTAACCACATATCTGTGGTCCACTTCTTTGCAGCGAGACACAGAACTGGTATATTTGAGCATGTGTTCCTATAGCTCCTGCAGGTTCCCTTCAGACTCAAATCTGTGTCTACAGAAGTTTGAGCAGAAACACTCAGCAAAGAAGAGTTTTATAAGAGGGGGTGACAGTCTACCATTGTATCAGGGCTACAGATGGAGTACAAATCAATAGAAAAACCTACATATTCCTAGAAAGACAAAAAAAGTGCATTTGAAGAAAAAAACTAAACTTTTATTTTTATGTAGCCCAGGATAGCGTTGATCTTGTTATTTCTGACAATGAATTCTTGGTTCCTCTAATGCTAGAAATACACCCTTGTAGTAAGTTTTCAATATGAGGTGCACTTAGTGCCCATCAAAGGGTTACAGATAAACAGGAAGTGCTAGACTCCCTTCTTCCCCAGCTGGCAGGCATCTGCTTGTCTCAGATCTCCAGGGTGGAAAGGCTGCAAGCTGGTTATGTGCCGGGGCCCACAACAGGAGTGAAGGCACTTTCAGGTCTTGGGAGTCGGCATTAGATGAGGCACTGCATTTTGACCATTAGGATGGGAGATTTGGGAAAGGAGCCACGCTAGAAGAATGTGGAGATTGTAATTCGCTAAAGTAGCAGCCTATGGGGAAAGGAGGTCTGGAATTTCTTGCAACTAGGAACTTTAAAAGAAGCCGTCTTGTCAGGTGTGATAGTGCACAGCAAAAATCCCTCAGGAGGCAGCAGCAGAAGGATCTCTATGAGTTTGAGGCCAACCTGGTCTACATAGCTCTAGGACAGCCAGGGCTGTATAGAGAGACCCTGTCTCAAAATACCCAGACAAACAGACAGACAGAAAAAAACCCATCGTCTTGTGCCAAGTCAGTATGCCAGTATTTTGGCCTTTTTTCTTTCCTTTTTTCTGTGCTTGTGTCCCATTTTGCAGGATGGTGTATTTAAAACTGCTTCACTTTCAGTAGTTTCTCTAATTCATTACAGAGTGAGGGTCTTGTTTTCCATGACTGTCTTTGGCTTATAGACTTGAGCCATCACCCCTGGCTCTAAGCTCCATTTCTGTACATATTTGTGAACACAACTATCTGAGACCTTTTTCTTTGTCCATGCCAACACTTTTTTTCCAAGAATGTAAATTATTAATTTCCTTCAATATGTATCTTTAGAGTCTTCCCTTGTGAAGCCAGTTTCTACACAAGTTTCATGCCAACACATTCTCAACAATTTACTGTTTTTCGACAACAGAAATCTTTACAGGCTCTTCTATTAATCCAGTTCCCACTCAAGTACCAGCTCTCCTTCCTGTTGGTTTGGAAGATTCTCAAAGCACCCAGTCATAAGTATGTTCAAGTGCTTTAAAACATCCAAGGAATGACTACTTCTTCCCAATTAAAGTAATCTCTGGACCAGCATCTAGAAACAAGAACGGAAGTTCTCTGACTTCACCTCAGGTCCATAGTATGGGAACTCAACTTTATAACACATCCAACTAGAGTTCCTGAAGTCTTTTTGAAAATTGGTAATCCTTGCTCTTGATACTTGCGAATTCTCCCTTAGATAGGGAACTGCTTTTTCTGACTTACTAGCGTTTTATTACTAATTAACAATAATTACTGTATTCTAGTCTACTTAGGGTACTTATTTCAGGGTAGCCCATCAGGCACTTCCCAGGCGCCTCAGGGAGAGAGTGAGGAACAGCGTAGCACAGCAGCGCCCAAACACTAAGAAAACCCGCCCTAAGCCTTTGGTACCGGGCTACGGTTTCCGGAAGGGGCGGGGCGGACGAGGGGCGGCTTCCGGAGGGCATGGATTCCGGAAGGGGCTGGGAGTGAGGGCGAGGGGTGGGCAGTGCGAGTGGGAGATGTCCGGCGGCGGCCGCGCTGGCGGGTCTAAGGTACGCTCTCCAGTGGCTGTGGAAGCCGAGCGCGCGGCGCCCGGCTCCGTGGGCTTCCCGTGCTGGCCCTGGCCCGGGCTGATGGGCACGCGCGGGTTGTGGCGGTCGGTGTGGAGCAGGGCGCCCTCGCCCTGTCCCCCTGCCCGGGAACTGAGCGCGTGGGCGGCAGACGGAGGACGGAACGCGCCGCTGGGCAGAGATTTAGAATGAGTGTGTTAGCCGGAGTCTGGCCATTCATTCGTCCCCGTTTACTCTGTTGCTTACCACATCAGGACAGGAGGTATCTTCACTGCACCGCTTTCCCGCCCAAACTTTCTGAGAGGAGTCGCTTCTCCAGTGCGCTCCCGCCGTCTCTGTACGCTGCAGGCGTGGCGTGTAGGAACTCTTACACGGGTGACATTTAAGTGAACGTACCTTCTTTTCGTTGCTCCGACGCTGTGTTCCTCACTTCCAGATGTTTGTTTCATAATACTCACAGTTTAAAACAGCAAACGGTGCTTCATTTCTTGGTCTGCTCTTCGTTTTAGCTGAAGAGCTTGCGGAAAGAATGTCCCACGTAAATGCCTCAACTCCCTTATCCCTGCCATTCCTCTTATGTCTCTAATAGACCCGAAAGACAACCCTGCGAACTTCGTAGCTGACTTAGAGAGCAAAAGCACATATGAACGATGACTTAAAAACTAATTCAACTTCGGAAGGATTAAAATGGGAAAAAGAGGAATTAGAACATTACTAAATCCACCATAAATTATTTAATTACGGCAGCAATTGATACCCTTGTCACCAATATTTATTTAAGCATCCCCGAAGTCCTGATTTGCGCTCCTAGCTGTTTATTGACTTTTCCCTACTGCCCTGCTCCGAATTTTGACCTTGTGCTTTTTGTCAACTTTAGGAGTTTGCCCTGGGCAGTCTTATACCTTGGTTTTAACTTCCTACTGCTGCGTAAACAAGTTACAGTGTGTTATGAAGCCATCATTCTTTTAGGGTACCAGGACCTAACAGTTTTTCCTAATTTAGTAACACTGTATTTGACTTTTTATTTCTGCCTCGTCATTCTATTATTTTTTCCATAGTTTTCCTTTTCAGTAGTTGTGTTACTTGCTGCCGTGTAAAAATTGCCCCCAAAACTGAAGCAGCTTTCAACAAGTATTGCTACCAAAAGGCCAGGAAGCCGAGTGTAGCTTAACCTGGTGGCTGTTGCTCGGTGTTTCTCACAGGGTCTTCCCCCAAGTAAGCTTCAGTGTGTTTTGCCCATAGGGCGGCTTACAACAGAGTAGTGGACTTCCTTAGCAGCAGATGAGACAGGGTCTCACGTAACACAGCCTGGCCCTGAATTCACTGTCACCAAAGGTGACCTTGAACCGCATCATCCTGCCTCTACCATCAAGTGCCATCACACCCAGCTTTCATTTAAAATTTAATTTCTTGGGGGATGGGGAGGGATCAGGGCTCAGTATATAGCTGTGGCTGGTTTGGAACTTATTGTGTAGATGAGGCTGGCCTAAAGCCTGCAGTGATCATCCTACCTCTACGTCCCCATTGTTGGGATTACAAATGTGAGCCACCACATCAAGCTTCATTTAACTCGTTTATCAGTCCTTCAAAGAGACACTGTCTCATGCTATGGATGAGGACAGTGACCCCCAACAGGAGGCTAAGTGATTTGACCAATGAACATAGCATTCAGATTGTCTTGCTCATCTTGCTTTGTTTTCCTGCTTCATGGTCTTCCACACCTTCCATACTATGGCCAGGTTTAATTCCTTTTTTCCCCCCCCCTTCCGTTTTTTTGAGACAGGGTTTCTTTGTGTAACAACCCTAGCTGTCCTGAAACTCTCTTTGTAGACCGGGCAGGCCTCAAACTCACAGAGATCTGCCTGCCTCTGCCTCTCGAGTGCTGGGATTAAAGGTGTGCACCTCTTTGCCAGGCCGTGTCTATTCTTTTGATTCCTTAGTATAAACATTATAAGATTAGGAATGGTGTCTCCAATTCATTCTCCTTAGAGCAACCGCCATCATTGGTAAATAGGTGATGAACTTGTGAGTAGACTAGGTGTGAAGAAACGTGGAGAAATACCTTGCTCCCAAATCCTTAATATCAGCTTCAGCTCTTCAATTTCCTGCTCATAGAGTTCTGGACAAGACACTGTCATCCTAAATAACAACTAGAGAGGTATTTCCAAAGACTCATGATAGTCATTTGAGATGGGTATACTGTAGTAAAGTATGAGCACATTCAAAGAGAATGAAGTGAGGGGAAATACTTAAAGACCATTAAGAGAAATAAAGAAAATTGTGTTTCTCTGATGACCCCTTCTGTCTTTGGGTTACTGTTGGTGCGATGAAACACCATGACCAAAACAGCTTGTGGACAGAAGGGTTTATTGGGCTTTTATTTCCACATCACGGTCTAGATCAAAGGAAGTCAAGATAGGAACTCCAGCAGGGCAGGAACCTGGAGGCAGAAGCTGATGTAGGGATCTTGTAGGGATGCTGCTTACTGGCTTCTCAGCCTGCTTTATTACAGAACCCAGGACCACCACCATTCCACACCATCACCCACAATGGGCTGGGACCTCCCCCATCTATACCAGCTAAGAAAATGCTCTTACACGTTTGCCTGCAGCCTGATCTTATGGAGGTTCCTCCTCTAAGATATCTCTAGCTTGTGTTAAGTTTACATAAAACTAGCCAGGGCATCTTCTCCAACACAATTTCAGGTCCTCATCACCAAACCTTTTATAAGTGCTTCTTGTTGGATGGCTATCACTTGACAGACAGTATTTAAACCCACTGTACACTTCCATTTGAAGTATGGCTTTTGATTTTCAGGAAGGCAGGAGAGAAGGAGCTATTGGTTTAAGAACATTCACTGTTCTAGGAGGATTTAGTTCTATGCAGAATAAGATTAGTTTTCTGCAGTAGGAAGAGAGGGAAGAAGGAGCTGAGTAGATGGAAGTTTCGTGCTCCTTTATAATGGCAGCTATTTTCTCCCTTAGGGAAGATATGACAGGTCAAGTCAGGCTTGCATGGAGACAGATAAGGAAGTGTGAGTATGGAACTCTCTTGTGTGTTTGAGTGTAGAGGGCTAGGAAATGAGTAAGAATGTTCACCAAAACTGAGTGGTAGTTTGAATGTAATAGCCCCCATAAGTTCATAGGGGAGTGACATTATTAGGAGATGAGGCTTTGTCGGAGTAGGTTTGATCCTGTTGGAGGAAGTGTGTCACTGTGGAGATTTTGAGGTCTCATATTATGATCAAGCCACGCCCAGTGTCTCACACCACTCCCTTTTGCCTGTGGGTCAAGTTGTCAGACTGAGCATCTCCAGCACTATGTCTGCCTGCATGCCACCATGTTGTACCATGATGATAATGGACAAAACCTCTGAAAATGTAAGCCACCCAATGAAATGTTTTCCTTTATAAGAGTTGCTGTAGTCATGGTGTCTCTTCACAGCAATAGAAACCCTCACTAAGACTTGCCCAAAGACACACCATTAGAAAATATGGAATGAGCTAGACTTGTCTTTGGTTTGTTTTATAGTAGTCCTATGGACTGGTGATTGGTTAAGTTGGTTGGAATCTTAGTAATTAAGAGGCAATACTGAAATAGTTGCTCCTAGAGTGTGGAATGACATGGGGGATAATTTCAGTTGGGAGAGGGATAGTGACTGATGGAAAAGTCCCACTTGGTTCTCAGACACATACAGTCCAATCAGAAACTCACTGGTGGTGCTTCTGTGTGGGAAGAGGTCATGATAGTTGTTGATAGGCATTTTTAAGTGGAATAATAGAATGGATGACTAGAATCTTTATTTGTAGAGTTAGAGTTTAATGGGGGAAAGTTTGATACATTGCACTAGGAAAGTACACATTATTTCTATGTTGTAATTTGTCCATAGATAGTACCTATTAGGATTGGCAAGAGGATTGAATAACAAAAATGCTTGGGATGATGTGCTAAGAATATAATCCCTCACTGCATGTCAGTAATAATGAAATCTGTTAATCATAAAACTATAAGGTTATTTGTATGAGGATGATATGGATTCTCTACTACATAGTTTCCAGATTTTCATGGAATTGTTTTCTTTCACATTGGCAACAAGGACAAAGAGGAGGGTTTAGTTTTTTAAGGTGCTCAATGATGGTAGAAGATTCTTAGTTATTTAGACAGGAGGACTTTGTGGTTCAGTTTAAGGTTTTGGTCATCTTGTTGGATAATTTGCCTACTATAAATCTGTTTCTGGGTATCAATATGTAATATTGGATCTTTGTCTAGAAGTTGTTATATCCTTAAAATGAAAGACAAACAGCTAACTTAGTGAACAATGTATAACAAATAATTTACACAGAATACATTACTTTAGGGAAAATACATTTTCTTTTTCATCAAAGTAATATATGTTTACAGATGAGGTAAAATAGTATGAAAAGTTTATTATGAAGGCATCAGCCACTTTCCATATTCATTTCCTTTATATTTTTGAGGCAATTATAGGTTGACATAATTGTAGGAAATAATAGAGATCTCAGATATATTTTACCGATTTTTTTCCTAATGATAATATTTTCAAAACTATATTACAATCAAGTCATCAATATATTGACATTAGTATATTGTAACTGTATTACCCAAATTTCTTCTATTCTCTTCCCCTCCTCTCCCTTCTTTTTCTTCTCTCTCTCTCTCTCTCTCTCTCTCTCTCTCTCTCTCTCTCTCTCTCTCTGCGTGTGTGCGTGTGTGCAAAACAAACAACCCCCCAAAACAAACCAAACAAAAACAATTTAAGAACCCTACCATAGATAGGGTGGCTTATACATAACAGGAGTTTGTTTGTCCCAGCTGGATAGTGTAAGATCGGAGCACTGACAGCCAGTGTTTGCTGAGGGCTCCCTGGATTATACACAGCCTTCTTGCCATGTTATCCCGCGGTAGGGGGAAAATGAAAGAACTCGCCAGGATTTCTTCCTAAAAGCAATGGGTTTTATGCCT